GGGGGTAGGGTGTCAGCGCTCCCTTCCCCCCCTGCCCGTCCATGACCAGGCATCTGTCCATTGATTACATTAAAACCCAACTCAGTAAGTGTGAAATGTCTTAGACTTTTCAGTGCCCTTCCAACACTCATGTACCATCATTCAGCAAAGTAAACATAGTAATAGTCATGTCACCATTGACAATAACGTAGAACAGTCATGTCACATCGGTGGCACAGTAAACGTTAGCAACATCCATTCACCACGTACACGTAACGTGCAACAGTCATGACCATCATTGAGCCAGTAAACTTACAAAGTCATCCCAACATTCATACAGTAACGTAGAACAGTCATGTCACATTTGTGCACAGTAAACTACAACAGTCATGTCACCAACATTCATCACAGTAAACGTAGCAACAGTCATGTCACCAACATTCATCACAGTAAACGTAGCAACAGTCATGTCACCATCATTGAGCACAGTAAACGTAGCAACAGTCATGTCACCAACATTCATCACAGTAAACGTAGCAACAGTCATGTCACCAACATTCATCACAGTAAACGTAGCAACAGTCATGTCACCATCGTTGAGCACAGTAAAGGTGTCATCACAAAATTGGTGTCATTACCACCATTAAGGTAACGAGTGTTGTGTCTGGAGCAATCTACTGTGTAATGTGATCTTGATCTTGGTTAATAGTTGTGATCAGCGTAATGGTGTCGGAGTATGTTTTCTCAGATATTTTTTTTTTTCTTTTTTTTATTATGTTGACAATAGAGTGTTACAAATGATGGGAGTACACGAAGTAGTTTTCTCAGCATTAACTGAGAAGGAAGAGAACAGCTGTTGTGTATAATAAAGGAAGAAACAAACCGTTGCTATTGCCCCTTTGAAAAACTCGCACGTTAGTGGGTTGGGATAACAAAAGACCCGTGAAGGTACTACCCTCTTGTCATAATAGTGTGAAACATGCACACAGCGACCATCAGGAAGGTACTTCCCTCCAGTCATAAAAGTATGAAAGGTGCCCACAGGTAGTGGGTTGGTAGCCAACGACCATCCAGGGAGATACTACTCTTCTGTTAAATGAATGTGAAAAATGCTGTAAATATTTTCCATGTACAAGCAGTCTTGTGCTTGGGCACCTCTTAGTGCCTATAAATGGAACATCTTTGGGAAGAGACTTGAAATTCACATTTCACAAGGGGTGACGTAGCTACGTCGACGATATTCTAGTTGTCTCCCCGACGCCTTTCTTTCATCAAGTTCAGTATTGAAGAGAACGGACATATTCCCTTCCTAGATGTGCTAATTCGAAAAAATGGCAATAAACATAATTTCGAAGTCTACAGCAAACTAACAGAGTTGATGATCTGATTTATTATTCGCATCATAACGACAAATGTATGTTTTTAAAGAGTACAAACAATATATTCCTCTCCCTCGTCTCAGGAAAAATGTAGTTATGTTAGTGAAATTTTAACCGAAATTTACTACCTACAGTTCTTCATTATCGACTGCTGGAAGAAAGCCGAGAAGATTCTACATAACTGATTCTAACGCTGCACCCAACACATACATTGTACTTTCCCTCAACAAACAAAACCAGCGACAATCTCTCCAATACGTTAGTTAAATCCAATATCAGGGTCACCATCCTTCTATCTAAAACTATAGAAGACTTCAAGAAAAAGAAGCCGATGAACACTACCGGCGTTATTCCATACCATGTGGAGGTTGTGACAGGATTGATGTTGGTACGTTCAGTGACCTTAGATACCAGAGTAACGCTATACAATACCGACAAGAGGAGAAATTAGAACAGTACCATTGTGATAATACCTGTCTGATACACCACCACCATGGAATAGTAGTGCAGAGGATATCTCCTACAGCCTGTTTGGAAAGCTCTGGCCCGATTGCAGCATGACCTATTTCCAGTAGTGGGTCCCGATCTTGGAAGGAATGGTCCCAAATCTGCACACAGAAATCACTCCCTACGAAAGTAAAAGACTGGGCAGGCGATGCAAAATGTCGCCAATAAAAAGTAGGGGCGCCATTGGTACACTAAGAGAAAACACCATAAGTGTTCGGGGCCCAAAACTGTTCAACAGCCTCCCATCAAGCATTAGGGGAATTGCCAATAAACCCCTGGCTGCCTTCAAGAGAGCTGGACAGATACCTAAAGTCAGTGCCGGATCAGCCGGGCTGTGGCTCGTACGTTGGACTGCGTGCGGCCAGCAGTAACAGCCTAGTTGATCAGGCCCTGATCCATCGGGAGGCCTGGTCATGGACCGGACCGCGGGGGCGTTGATCCCCGGAATAACCTCCAGGTAACCGCCCACCTGTAACGATGACTTCATCTGCTGACCCTCAGTATATTGGAGTCCGTCATTCTGCCTAAGTTTCACATTCATAAACACTAATGTGCTGAACATCTTTCATTGTCTTTTGTGTATACTTCTGATTACCTCGACTGCTACTGTCTTCGATCAACTCTGCTGTGAAAAAAGATAAAGCCACTGGTTGGTGAAGCGTCATCATTTATTTGAAAGCCGGGAGTTGCACGTGCCTGATTCCATATATTAATACATGCTGAATCAATGATACTAAGAGTGTACATGCACTTACAGAGTAACACAGACAACCAGCTAATGAACCTTGTCATCACCAAAAGTGATCGTCACAGCAGATAGTTTAGAATCCGCAGTAATAGCTCACACACATTAATGGAAACTCAAGGATAATTTACCATCTCCGAAGTTTTATCGAGGTTTGTTCTCTCAAAACCTGGTACTAACCTCACTCGGCTGGCTACTCATATGTGACTTCACGGCGCCATTCTTACCACATGACCTTTCCCCAAACCCTGCATATACCCATGCCTTGTTCTCTTGTGTGAATTGATAGTCTCTTGTGGACACAACATCTTCACAACAAAGTGCCATAACCCACATTGTGTATTTAACTTACATGATCTTTCGGGTTTAACGCTTGAATTATTATTATTATTATTTATTATTATTATTATTATTATTATTATAATTCAACGAGTGTGAAACACACACGAGGATAGTAGGTTGTTAAACAATCTGCCAGAGAAGCTCGGTCCTCCTCATGTGTGCATAACGGGTAAATGTTCTATATTCTGGCAGGATTTCTCTCTCTCTCTCTCTCTCTCTCTCTCTCTCTCTCTCTCTCTCTCTCTCTCTCTCTCTCTCTCTCTCTCTCTCTCTCTCTCTCTCTCACTCTCTCACTCTCTCACTCTCTCGTCCTCTCTACCTACCTACCTCAAAGAGAGGTTAAGGGAAATCGACCTGACAACACTAGAGAGATAGGGGGATATGATAACGACATATAAAATACCGAGAGGAATCGACAAGGTGGACAGACAGGATGTTCCAGAGATGGGACACAGCAACAAGGGGTCACAGTTGGAAGTTGAAGACGCGGATGAATCACAGGGATGTTAGGAAGTATTTCTTCAGTCACAGAGTTGTCAGGAAGTGGAATAGTCTGAGAAGTGATGTAGTGGAGGCAGGATCTATACATAGCTTTAAGAAGAGGTATGATAAAGCTCATGGAGCAGTGTGTGTGACCTAGTAGCGACCAGTGAAGAGGCGGGGCCAGGAGCTGTGACTCGATCCCTGGAACCATAACTATGTGCATATGTACACACACACACACACACACACACATGATGTGAAATATCTACACAATAAGGTAAATGACGCAACAACCAGGAAGAAAGCAAGGTGAATAATGAGAACTTTCAGAACAAAGGGAAACAATGCCATTGGTGACATTTTTCAGACACCATTTGCTTTCTTGCTTGGAGTACTGTTCAGTGTTGATGCTTCATTCCGGGTAGGGAAGATATTAGAGCTGGAATACATTCAAAGATCATTTATGGCCTGCACCGATACAGTTCAGGATTTGAGCTACTGGGAATGCATCAGAGTCCTAAATATGTACTTTGTGGAGTGAAGGCAAGAGAGGTGCATGATAAACTATACCTGGGAAGTACTTGAGGGTCTGATCCCAGTACTGCACACTGTCATAACATAGTGCAGATATACATATTACTGAATCGTGTACTAATTTGTTGCAAAGCACTCTACAAAACCATTACCAAACTATCTATAAATCTATTACCAAGCCATCTATAAATCTATTCATAAACCGTCTACAATGTATAGAATAGACCCCGAGAACGCAGAGGCGCTATGGGCACAGTAAGGTAACACTGTCAACACACAGGTACCTAGACTTATAACTTTTTACCAGAAACTGCTGGAACAGGTGCAGAAGCCTTCAAGAGGAAATTGGATGAGCATCTTCACCAGGTGCCAGATCAACCAGGCGATGGTTGATATATGGGCCAGCGGGCCACCAGTAGCAATAGCCTAGTTGACCAGGCAAGCGCCAGAAGATCTTGCCTAGCCTACGGCCGGGTTCCAGAAATAGAAAAATTTTCTGAGCTCATTAAAGGTATATCAAAGGTAAGATATAAGCACCAGATGAACCAGGTTATAGCGGATATGTGGGCCAACGGGCCGAAGGCAGCAGTAGCCTGATTGATCAGCCAAACACCAGTCAAGTCTGGACTAGGGCAGGGCTTCGAGAATATGAACACTCTGGAAACCCGTCAAGGGTAAAGGCATACATTCAGCATACTTACATACACTTTCCTGCTTGTTTCTTAATTATTTTAATTCTTGTTACATTTGCCAATGAAACTCAAGCTGAAACAGTCACTGAAGATCCCAGGATCGGAAAACCCTCCCTTAAGGGGAATTACCCCGAACTACATTAAAAAGATAACTTGATAAGTTCCTCTAGGCACTTCAGCTAAACTCTGATGCTTTGTGTTGACTTGCTGCTAGCATTAATAGCCCTGTTGAACAGCCCATGAACCACGAAGCTTTTAATAGACGAGATTGTTTGATTAAACAAATTTATCAGCGTTTTAACACTTGTGAAGATAATACTAATAATTATTCTTTATCATTGCAGGAGTCAGCAGAGTTGTTTCTTATACAGGCGACAGGTGAGTGTTACTCCCCTAGTATAATGTACATGTGTTACTCCCCTAGTTAGTACACATGTGTAGTGATTGTTTCTCCCTTAGTATTAGATACGTGTTACCCCCTAGTTAGTACACATGTGTAGGCGATTGTCTCTCCCCTAGTATTATGTACGTGTGTTACTCCCCTAGTTAGTATACGTGTGTAGGTGATTGTTTCTCCCCTAGTATTATGTACGTGTGTTACTCCCCTAGTTAGTACACGTGTGTAGGCGAGTGTTACTCCCCTAGTTATTACATATATGCAGTGTGTTCCTCTCCTAGTTACTACACCTGTGTTGGGGGCTGTTTCCCTAACTACATCTGTGCATGTAGTTCCGAGGTGCCAGTATAGACCTCGGGAACTTCTAGCAGTCTCTCTTTTTCTTTAATTGATACCGTCTACCTTAACGTAGCATGACAGTATTTGTGACGAGTATTTATCTTCATTGTTATTGTTTTTATCGTGTATTGTCTTGAAGGATGAGAGGGGATGTTGCGGTGCGGAGGGTCATCAGAACTGTGATGGCGGTTTTCTTCTGACAAGACAGTGATTGAGTGACAGTGAAAGTGTTTCCTTTGTTTGGTCTTCCTACCTGGGTGAGAGACGGTCGAAGAGTTAATAGTAAATTATTAATATATTATATATATATATATATTATATATATTATATATATATATATATATATATATATATATATATATATATATATATATATATATGTATGTTGTATGTATAATTTTATTTTATGGCTGTGAGCGCTGAGTGATCTACATGATCAAAGTTCTCCTTAAGTGCCACTACAATTGTGTAAGTTGTTGTATTCTACGGTGTAGCTATTATTTCTCAAGTTTTCTATAACGGAGTAACCGAAATTTATCCTCACTGAACCTAATATTGTTTTCCTTGGCCTATTGGAAAACTTGGTTTATATTAGCACGGTAAATCTCCAAGCGAATATGAACCAAGTGTTCCAGTGGGCCTCAGAAAACAATATGATGTTCAGTGAAGACAAACTTCAGTTACTCCTTTATGGAAAACTTGAGAAAATAATAACTTGAACTGATTATACTTCAAACTTTAACCACACAATAGAGTGAAAAACTAATGTGAAGGACTTAGGAGTATTAATGTCAGATTATCTCGCCTTCGAGGATTATAGCACTGCCACAATCTGCGAGGAAAACGATAGGATGGATAATGAGAACCTTCAAAGCGGGATACCATGCCAGTGATCCTTTTAAAGTCGCATGTTCTCTCTAGGCTGGAATACTGCTGTACACAAGCTGCTCCATTCATGGCAGGTGAAATCGCAGATCTAGAGAGTGTACAGAAAACCTTCACTGCACGTATAAGTTCAGTCAAGCACCTTGACTACTGGGAATGTTTAAAGTCCATTGACCTGTACTCCCTTGAATGTAGGCAAGAAAGATAAATCATAATCTACACCTAGAAAATCATGGAGGGACTGGTCAGAGATCTACACAGAAATCAGTAATTACGACAGCACAAGACTAGGCAGGCGGTGTATCATACCCCCACAGAAAAGCAGGGGTGCCCTGAGTACATTAAGAGAAAACACTAAGTGTCCGGGGCCCAAGCAGCCTCCCACCATGCATAAGGGAAATTGGCTGTCTTCAAGAGGAAACTGGACAAATGCCTAAAGTCAGTGCCTGATGAACTGGGCTGTGATTCGTACATTGGACTGAGTGTGGCCAGCAGTAACAACCTGGTTGATCAGGTCCTGACCTACCGGGAAGTCTGGTCAATGACTGGGCCGCAGGGACGTTGACTCTCGGAACGACCTCCAGACAGGTATGTTACTCTAGTTACTACACCTGACAAGTGTGTTATACTCCCTAGTTACTGTATCTCACTCCTATTTACACCTTTATAGGTATGTTACTCCCCAGCCTGTGGTTCATGTAACTAGTAATAACATCCTGGATGATCAGGCCCTGATCCACAATGAGGTCTGATCATGGACCGAGTTGTGAGGGCGTTGAATCCCGGAATGCCCTCCAGGTAGCCAGGTCTACCTGGAGGGCATTCCAGGGATCAACGCCTCCGCGGCCCGGTCCATGACCAGGCCTCCTGGTGGATCAGGGCCTGATCATACAGCATGTTACTGCTGGTTACACGCAATCCAACATATGAACTACAGGCTGGTTGATCAGGCACTGACTTCAGATATCTGTCCAGATGTAAATTATGATGTACCTTTCTTGGCTGTACTCTGAGGACAGGTCTAGGGCCTTCAAGTATTCCCAGTAATTGAGGTGTTTTAATGAGATATGTGTTGTTAAGGTCCTTTGTACATTCTCTTGATCTGCAATTTCTCCTACCATGAAAGGAGGATTGTTAACATACAGTAGTATTCCAGCTTAGAACAAGTGACTTTAAGAGGATCATCATTAGCTTAGAATTCCTTGTTTCGAAGGTTCTCATTATCCATCCTATCATTTTCCTCGCAGTTGTGATGATGACATTGTTGTGATGTTCTTCACATTAGATTTTCACACTATTGTGTAGTTAGAATTGATCTTAGACTCCATTCTAGCTTTCAATTCCTGAAGTTTTCCATAATGGAGTAGCTGGAATTTGTTCTCGTTGAACATCATATTGTTTCCTGTAGCCCATTTAAAGACTTAGTTTCTATCCACTTGAAGATTTACAGTGTCCTTTACCTTTGAGTTTCGAGAGTGTGTCTACTCCCGGAGCCCGGCCATGGGCCAGGCTCGTCTGGTGCTAGCCTGGTCAACCAGGTTGTTGCTGCTGGAGGCCTGCTGCCCCACATATCCATCAGCCCGGTTAATCTGGCACCTGGGGAAGATACTTGTCCAGCTTCCTGTTTAAGATTGTTCCAGGAGTGTTTCTGATATCTTCTGTTAAGATGTTCTGGGGCCACGGATGTTCATACAGTGTGCCTTTATTGTGCCCACTGTATCCCTGCTTTTGACTGGGTTTATTTTGCACTTCCTCTCATATCTCTCGCTCCAGAATGTTACGGCAGTGTAGATTTCGGACCAGGCCCTCGAGTACTTTCCAGGTATATATTATCATGTATATCTTTCTCCGCTCCAGTGGGTATATATTTAAGACTTTCAAAACATATCCAGTTAATTCAAATGCTTTATTGGCTCAATACGGCCATAAACGATCTTTGTATTTGTTCCAGCTCCGATATTTCTCCTGCTCTGAACTGGTCCTCAGTGAATGACACGCAAATTAGTATCGTCTGCAATTGAAGACACGTTGCTATGGTTTACATCTCCGTATAGTTCGTATAATAAATATTGGGATTATATTTGCTTTTTCCCAGACCTCTGGCAGCTGCCTTGTTTCAGTTAACTAGTTAAAGACCACTGTTAGAGGTTCAGACATTTCCTCTGGTCCCCTTTTTAAAACCCATGAAGAGATGTCTGATCCCATTGACTTTAGCAGTCTCTTCACCTCTCCTCCCATTGTTTGTATTATCCAGTATTCGTTGGCGAACTCCTCTTTGACTGGCATTGTTTCTGATTCTATTGTAAATTCCTCCCTAAATATTTTGTCCAGTTCCTCACAGTCTACCTGGTCATTCCTGGTGAGCTCCCTTCTTCCTGCTTCAACCTTATCTGGTCCTTCACAGTTGTCTTTTTTTTTTTTTGTAATATAGCTGTACATCAACTTTAGCTCAGATTTCAATGCTGTGTTATTCTCAAATTGTCGTTCATCCTCCCTTTGTATCCTTGTGTATTTGTTTCTGGTTCTGCCTGCTTCACTGTTCTCTAACATTCTTTGTTTTCTATATTTCATGTTTTTGTACTTTTGGTTTTTGCCTCCCTGCATCTCTTGGGGAACCATGAGCTCACTCTTTTCTTACCTGTGATACTTCTGTCCATGAATTTCTGTTCTGCCTTCCAACACTTTCCAGCTACATACTCCATTTCATTTACTGTCTTTTCATCTAGCGTCACTTCTTACAGCACTCTGCTTAGGAACTGCCTCATGCCATCATAGTCTCCTCTTTTGGCGTAGTATTTGTCCTTTTCTTCATGCTCCTAAGTTTCCTTCTACAGGGACTGTGTGGTCATTAGCTTCAAGAGGCTTCTCGTATTCTGTCCCCCTACATCAATCACTGAGGGTGAACACAAGGTCCAGTCTCATTGCTTCATCCTAGTAGTGTTCCTTGACGTGCTGACTCTTGAAGTTTTCCCACTGCTACCTCCAGCAACTTAACACGCCATATTTTCGATTTCCCATGATCCATAGTTTTGCATTGCCCATGTGGGTAGTGCTCCTTCTGTCATTTACACCATCGCCCTATTGTCATCTTATTCATGTCTTGGTCTTTTTCTGTTTAGTGGTGGGTTGTACATCACTGCTATTATCACCTTGGGTCCCTCAGTTCTGACTGTCCTCATTACATAATCATTTAGCTTCTCTCTCGTTGTTCTGCCAATCTCCTCAAAGATCCACGGGTTCCTGATCACCACTGCTACTCTACCTCTTTTTCGTCTGCCCTTTCTCATTACCCGAGAGGCTTCTGGAAATATCACATTTGTTATCACCTCCGGGAGGTTGGTCTCTGTTATTGTGTAGATGATAGGCGAGTCTTACTCCCTTCGGTACTACACCTGTGTTTGTGTGTTTTACTTCATCAGTGTAGGTGTTGAGTGAGTGTTACTCCCTTAGTCATAACACCTATGTTGGTTTTAGGCTGGAATACTGACAGGTATGTGAACAAAGACACATGCATGCCGAATAAAGCTTAATGTGGACAGAATTTTCACGACGTAGACCTTTTTCCATTCATACATTGAATATGCAGTACAGATCGTAGAACCACAAGTAATTTACGTTTTACCATTTTCGAGGGGTTTTCTACCGTTGCAGCCCGGCCTTTGGTCAGGCTTCTTTGTTGATCACACTTCACGCTCTACTGGCCTACTCCTGTTTCCACCTCTCCTTCCAGCAGTATAGATCACGTAAGGTGTTTTCT